AGCAAGCATTTGCAGATTGTCTGCTAAGTGTTAAGGGTACTTTGCTGGATACCCTTTTTTTGTTTGCTAGGATGGGTAAATAGAATTCAGTTATTCTCTTTCAGAGACTAAAATCTAGTCTGGGGCACAGACACCTGAACAGTAGAGGTACAAAGTGTGAATAAATGAGGGGGGAGACGAATTAAAAAGCTATAAAGGTCTTGTGGAAGAACTGTGATCCTAGCTTAGAGGTAAAGGTAAGTGGAGGGCTGCCCGGTGGTTCAGTCAGTTAAGCATCTGACTCTATCTCAGCTTGGGTCTTCATCTCAGGGTTGTGAGTTCAAGCCCCGCACTGGGCTCTGCACTGGGCATGAAGCCTACTTAAAAAAAAAAAAAAAAAAAAAAAAAAAAAAAAAAAAAAAAGAAGGAGTGTGATGGGAGAAAATCTTTGTTGATGATGGTTCTTAAGATACTGATTTCATTTATGCTGCTTATTAGCCTATAGTAGTTCTCATTGTCTATGGCAAACAGTTTGTTGATCAGAAACTAAGATGTCACTCTCCAATAGCTTGAGTTTCTCAGCTGTGAGAATTAGATAAATTTTGAAGGAGGGTCAGACACATTCCTTATGTTTTATCTAAGAGGAACCTCATAATCCACAGAGGTTATGTATTCAGTATGCACTGCATTCCAGGAAAACTACAAGTACTGAATTTTATCTGTTTCTTCTTTCAAAAAGCATTTATTGAACGCTAGCTGTGATCTAGGTAATCTGCTACATGCTGGAGATTCTAAATGGATACAACACTGTCCCTACCCAAGGAGCTCTGTTTCTCCCATTACACTTAAAAAGTTCCTTGGGTATTTTATATTTCTGGAAATGAAGATATCTTTCAGTACCCCATATCATGTGATCTTGATGGGATGATCATAAAGCAACAATCATACTCTGGTGTTCTTTTATAGGACATGTAAACCTGTGTAATTATACTATTGCTTCAACTAACGGTGGAGTCTTTTTAAAATTTTTATCAGCCACCAGTAATAATGCCTCACCTAAACCTTATGGTCTGTGATATCATACTGTTCAATAAATTGTAGTAGAGGCAGTAGAGTGGAGTGGCAAAGAGGACAGTGGAGCTGGAGTGTCTGAGTTTGAATTCCAGTTGTTTTAATTACTAGCTGGGTCACCTTGGACAAATTACTTACTCCGTCTGTACTTAATTCCTTTAATATATAAAATTGGGATAATAGTAATACTTTTTAGCAATATTAAGTGGATTAAATATACCGATAAATGTAAAAACACTTAAAACTCTGCTGGGCACCATGATATGCATTATATAGGGTGTTACCTATGATGGAGATGATTGTAAAAATGATGCAGCAGCAACAAATTACATTTAACAAGTTAAATACAGTCACGTTAAACCATTATATACTAAAACTTTTATGTAGTCTTAAGTTTTGAAACAAAACTTTGATCAGAAGAATAATTGTATAATTATGCAATAGACCTTTGAACATTGTAGGATTTAGGGGTGCTGACCCACACACAGTCGAAAATCCACATTTAACTTTTGACTCCCCAAAAACCTAGCTACTAATAGCCTACTGTTGACTGGAAGCCTTACTGATAATATAAACAGTCAGTTAACACATATTTTGTATGTAATATCTATTATATACCATATTCTTAGGATAATCTAGAGAAGAGTGTTATTAAGAAAATCACAAGGAAGATAAAATATACTTTTAGTATTATACTGTATCTTTAAAAAAATCTACATAAGTGGATCCACATAGTTCAAACCTGTGTTGTTAAAGGGTTAACTGTACTTTAGTAAAAAAGTGTTTTTGCAGGAAGTTTTAAAAATAAGAAAATAAATGTGTAATCCAAAAACCCTTGGTTTACATTCTGGCACACCAGTTCAGATCTTTTTATATGCAATTCCCCTTCCCTCCCCTCGTTGATTTTTGATATTGCAGGGATACTCTTTTATCATTTGCTTCTCTGTTTATCATACACATTCCTTTCCATGCCATAAATATTCTTTAACAATTTCATTTTTAATGATTGCATGGTTATCCTTTATGTTATTGTAGTAAATTCTGTTTAACAGGTTTACTCTTGTTGGAAATTTAACTTGTTTCCATTTTTTTGCCTTCATAATCAGTGAAGCAATACACATCATCATAAGTATATTATTGCATTATCTCCATGACCGTTTCCTTAAGATAAACTCCCAAGAGTAGAATTGCTAGAACAAAGGCTTTGAAGAATTCTGTTGTCTAAAATTGCCAAAGCTTGTACCAGCTTACACAGTATTAGTAGGAGAATACCCATTCCTTATATCCTTACAGATGATGAGTTTTATACTTAAAAATTGCTTTTGCCAATTTGATGGCTAGAAATGATACCTGGTTTTAATTTGTATGCCAGGTTATATATATTTTTAAACTAATAGAATCATTTTTTTCTTACACATCAATTAAATACTTAAGATAGTCAACTAACCTCAGAATCCAATTTAGGATAAACTTTCAGTGCAAGCTTTTATCTTGCCAGACCTGTAAATAGTTGTGTAATCATTTCGATAGTACCAGAGCCTCTGTCTCCTGAAATGATACTAAAACCCTGTCTTTTTTTTTTTTTAAGTCCGACTTTAAGGTGAATTTTCCTCCTGTGTTTTGATGTCTTTTTCTTCTGTCTTTAGCCAAGCCATAGTTGAAATCAGAGGCTATTTCTTATTCATTCTTTTTCCCTTACATGGGCATCTAGTATTTTGGATGGATGGTGGATGGACAGACAAACAAATGAACCAACATTTAGAACCTACCAGAAAAAGTGATCTTTTGGAAAGGCAGCATATTTTGATCCAAGATAGGAGAACCAGTTCCTGGTGCCCCAGTGATTCTTCTATTCACTTCTCATGACATCGGCAAGACGTAATCTTCCTGTGCCTCAGTTTACAGCGTCTTTTAACACAAGTACTTTTTCTGCCTTCTCAACTGTTGTTATCTTTAGTCCTTTTCATGTCATGCCTAAACTATTATAATTCTTCCCCACTGCCAACCTGACTGTTCCTTCTTTCATTTGTCTTTATACTAATATCCAGCAGTACCTATATCGTTCTTCTTTTTGGTAGTTTTTAACAGCAGCTCCCTTTGGTGTACAGGATAAATATAATCCCTTTAGGTTTCCAGTTTCCCACTTCTGAGCCCTTGTTCAAAATATTTTCTCACCTACAAATTCACCAGCTTCTTCCTTTGCTCTTATTTAAATCTTGCCCACACTTAAAAACTGGGCTTCATTTCCTCCTATTCATGAAGACTTCTTGTACCACCATATCCCCATTTATCTTTCTTTTTCCCCTAACTCCCTGTTATACTTGCTAACTGTACATTGGTTTTCAACATAAGTCTGAGGAAGCCTGGGGATTTATAGCAGTGTTTCAGACACAATAAAAGAATAAGGAGGAAACCAAGGGCTCCATTCCCTCCTCCACCCAGTCTCCACTCTGCTTTTTCTATTTTATATGTTGAAATTTTATTTAAGATTTCCTTTGAAAATTTCTTCTTTGGGCAATATCATTTTTTATTCCTAACTTTATGAATAAATATTTTTTCTGTATAACTACAGGTTACTGTGAGACTAAAAGAGAAAAAAATACGACTTGAGAAGTCCTGTCGAATTAAGTAAATGTTACTTCCTCCATGGTCGTCTTTTGGAGTGAGAATTTGTTGGAAACTAAAACATTTTCCACATTTTAATTTTTTTCATTCAACAGTCAAGCAGTTTCTAAACACTGAAAATTAATACGTTGGTAGACTTTTAGACATAAAAAATAAAAAGACACAAATTTGTATTTCGAGAGAAGTACAGTCATAGACGTGCGTCCAAGTATATCTGTAGAACAAAGAAGGCCCATAGAAGCTGTGTGTATGTGAGTCAGGTTGTGCTTGCCTTCTAAGTCGTATCTTAATGGATAGAAGTTGCAAGGTAAACAAGGCAGAGAAGAACCTTCTAGGCAAAGAACAGAATATAGAAAGCTCAAAGACATGAAACAAGATATTGAGGAGTATTAATCAGTAGGGCTAGAACACAGGAGTCACTGATGAAATTGGAGGTAGTCTTATGTTGCCCAGTATGATGGCTACCTGCCACGTGTACCTACTTAAATTTAAATTAATTAAAATTTGAAATACAATTCTTTAACCATACTAGCCATATTTTAAGAACACATTAGGTATATATGCTAGTGGCCACTATATTGGACAGCACAGCTATATAACATTTCCATCATCATAGAAAATTCTATTGGACAGTGCCGAGCTGGATCACAGAGAACTTTGTGCATCTAATCAAAGAGTTGGACTTTTACCTTGTAGGCAGTTGTGAGCCTTTGGAGAGTCTTAAGCCAGGGAGAATGAGATTGGCATTTTTTCAAAGATTTTCAAATTTTCAGACACCTGATCTCACATACATAGTAGTTTTAAATAAAAAAATTCCTATCTAGTAAATGGTTTTTGCTGACAAAGTCTAATTAGAAGGGAGTTAGGTGGCTTGGGCCCCTGTAATTATTACAGTGGAAAAAAAAAATAGAGAAAGGGTTTAAAAATAGCCTCTTAAGACTTCTAACTCTATTGGAGAACTCTTGAAAAGCTGTTGTTATTTTTTAGCTGAAATAATGTTGCTTTACCTTTTTTTTTTTTAAGTGAAGTTACTGGGTGATAAATGTTAGTGATAATGTTATGTGATAAAAATTTTCAAAAACTTTTGTTCAGGGTATTTGTATCTTTATTTTGTATCAGGATTTACCATTAGGTTCTGAAAGCTAAGACTAATAACTGCCATGACTTGATAATAAACTTAACTGGATCAAGATGTTAAATAGAATTGTCATAGATTTATTAATCAAAGTAATTTAATTAGATTTACTAACAAAATAAAAATGTTGCTTTTAATAATATGAATTAAATCTTCATGCACATTTGCTAATTTGGGCCTTTTCTTCTAGTTAACCCAGTATCCACTCCAGTCGCGCTTCCCACACCAGCTCTTTCTCCAAGCTTGATAGCTGATCTTGAAGGTTTAAATTTGTCAACTACTTCATCAGTCATTACCGTAAGTAATTTTCTCAATATATTACCTCAGTTTGCATATGATACCATCGCATCTTTTTTATTAAAATGCAAATAATTGGATTCATAGTCTTTGAACACTTTCTTCTCTAAACAAGTCCAATGCAGATCTGACCTTTTAATTTTACAAGTATTTTAAAAGTTTGCTCTTTCCCAACCATTATCCTCACAAATGACTTCTGCTTGTTATCTACATTTAATTATCATGTGTACGTTTTTCTCTGGCACTCTTACATATCTGTACCATACAAGGGTTCTTTGCCACATTGAGTTAGTTTATATGTATAAATTCTGCCATAAAGAATTGTTGTCTACGTTAGCAGACTTAAATTCCCAAAATCATTCTGATTCTGTTACACTGTTCTTTTATCATAGACTACTAAACTTACCTTTTATCAGTAGTCTTTTATCATAGACTACTAAAATTACCTGCCTGTTTTAATATTACTTATGTGGTAGGGCTTGAAGTGGGACAGAAGGCCTGCCTATCTCAAAATAGTGCCAAAGCCATCAGCCCATCATAGTATCTGGAACTACAATAACTTTTTCTGTGTTAGTGTATTATATCCACTTATCTTTTACTCTAAATCAGGCGTGCTGCCTAGGATGTATAATCTGTTGATATGCTTGACCTCCTTTTAACTTGTTTTCAGAAACCTGACGAACTAAGAGATAAAATAGTAAGATCTGATGGGAACACAGGTAGCTTGAACAGATCTGGTTTATCACTGGTTCCCAGGGTGGGCAGAGTATTGCAGAGTACAGACATAATTGGTGATCTGAGCTCCTGGGGAACACTGAGCTGGTTCTGCCAGAAGTGGGAAAGAGGAGTATCTAATTCTTGTACATTGTTATAAAAGATTTTCCCATCATAGCAAAGGTGATAGCAGGGACATTTGGCTTAGAAAGCACAAAATGAAACTATTAAGTTGACAATGCTGTTTTAAGGTATAGAATGCGATTATCTCTTTAACCGCTCAGAAATGAGGAAGAACGAGGGGCGCCTGGGTGGCGCAGTCGGTTAAGCGTCCGACTTCAGCCAGGTCACGATCTCGCGGTCCGTGAGTTCGAGCCCCGCGTCGGGCTCTGGGCTGATGGCTCAGAGCCTGGAGCCTGTTTCCGATTCTGTGTCTCCCTCTCTCTCTGCCCCTCCCCCATTCATGCTCGGTCTCTCTCTGTCCCCCAAAAAATAAAATAAACGTTGAAAAAAAAGAAATGAGGAAGAACGATATGTGGGTTTTAGTTTTTCCCTTCTTGTTGCCAAAAGGAGAAGGCACATTGAAAGAGATGGGGGGAGACAGTGAAAATAAGCAGTTAGGTCTTTCTTATTTAAGTAATCAAGTATTTCTTGAGTCTTTGAGTAGTCTATAAAGAAAAGTAGTGAAAAATCTGTTGTGAAGCAGTTAGTCCTTGAGGGGAAGGGAGGGCCCTAAAAACTTGGGAGGCAGTAAGGTAGTGGATAAATAACTTGGGTTCTGATACCAGATGACCAGGGCACAAATCTCGGTTTAACCACTTACTAGCTGTGTGGTTGGGCAAATTGGTGTGTAACTTTTCTGTACCTCACCTTCCTGTGAATACCATACATACCTGATAGGATTGTTATGGCATTAATGAGATAATAAATGTAAAGCTCTTAGAACAGTGACTGGCACATTGTCATCACTCAATAAATAATAACTAATATTTTTGAAAGTGATACAATATGTGATAATGGATCCTGAGTAGACTCTCATACTTTATTAGCTCTAAGAAGAATACAGTTGAGATTAGAAAACCTTGCAGTAAATTTTCATTCATCACAAACTAATTGAAGGACTCACCCTTCATTCTAAGAAAAATATTTATTGGGATGGCCTCTTCAAAGGAAAAGAAAAGCACTGCATCCTAACAGTATACAAAAAAAGCACTGCCAAATAGGCAAAATTGGGTAAGGGGGGTGGGAGATACAGCCTTCCAGTCGCAGAATGAATAAGTCATGGGAATTAAAGGCACAACATAGGGAATACAGCCCATGATATTGTAATAATGTATGGTGACAGGTGGTAGCGACATTTGTGGTGAGCATAGCATAATATATAGTGACGCTGAAGCATTGTGCTATATACCTGAAACTGTATTTGTGTGTCATCTATACTCAGAAAAAGAATTTTTTTTAAAGACTGTCAGGTTCAACCGTGTGAAGCAGGATCACCAACTTATCCCCAAAAGCTAACAAAAGATAAAAACAAATAGTAGTAATAAGAATGGCAACCAGATGGGGCACCTGGGTGGCTCTGTCAGTTGAGCATCTGACTTTGGCTCAGGTCATGATTTCACGGTGTGGGAGTTTGAGCCTTGCTTTGGGCTCCGTGCTGTCAGTGCAAAGCCCGCTTGTATCCTCTGTCACCCTCTCTCTCTCTCTCTGCACCTCCCCTGCTCGCACTCTCTCTCAAAAATAGAAAAATAAACATTGGGGAAAAAAGAATGGCAACCAGAAATTCACTAGCAACAATCAAATAAGGAAAGGTAGCACTTTGAAAAGTGGAACGTATAGAAATAAACTGAATATTCTGGTACCGAATGGTATGGCTCCTAATCTCACCTCCAGCCCTCAAAACAGTACTTAAAAAAGAAGGTTAATCAAGCAAATTAATCAAGTTTTTTCATTATGTATCTGAATTTAGAAAGAAGTAAGATTAAAGACATCAGAAGAAAAATCAGGAAAGACCTTTAAAGATTATAACCCTCATATAATGGTATGGAACCTTAATAAATATGGGAGCCTTTTGGATCCTGAAATGAAATTCTTAGATAAGAGTACATCGATAATTTTTAAATCAATATGTTGTCCTTATTGAATAGAAAGAAGAAGTAAAAGTAATTTGTAATAAAGTAATAGTTACATTGCTATATAAACGCTTGTCTGTGGCTGTCCTAGAAACATACTTAAGTGGTTAAATAATGCTGGCACTGATATGTAGAACCACCATGAATGTGACTGATGTAGGTGTATCAGCAACTCAAATAGTGTGGATTGAGGTGTTGCCATCAGCAACATAATTTTCCAAAATGTTGAACAATTTCGAGTAGTTGTGTTTATATGACCTCATAGTCCATAGATGATTTTTATTTATTCCAGTAGATTATTTAAATTTATTTTCCTTGTGTATTTGGTAGAATATGGGTATATTTTATTTTTTGAAATTATGAAAACATTTACAATGAAACCCAAAGGAGAGTTCCTTTTTTACATTAAATATTTTTCAAGTGAACATTTTTACTGTTTGTTCTAACCATTTAAATTTTCTATTCAGAACACAGAGATTTTTTTAACATAATTCCAAATGAATATCATGATCATTGTAAGGAAAGGCCTAGTTTTTGAAATTATGATAAAGAAGATGCATAAACACAGTATTTGTTTCAGTCTTAGTTGAGATTAATTGGCAGTTGGACAACAGATGGTTAAAAATGAAGAAACATTTTATTTCCTGCTGTAGTATGTCCGTGAACAAACTATAACTTTTTTAGTGAATTATTAACCCTATTTTTTTTTACTAGATTATTGCTAGGCTAAGAGTTTCTAAATTGTTTCACATTAAGCCCCAGGAATTCAGAAGCAGCAATCCTCAGGTTGTTACAGCTTCTGGAGGGGATGAGAAAAAAGTGAGGTGGGGGAAAAGATAATTTGCATATAAGGTTAAATGAGAAATAAGAATAAAATTGTTCACCTCTGGTATTAGAAATGTTGGAGTGAGAATTGGTGTTTCTGCTTTAAATAATTTTTTCACATTTGGGACACAAAAGTATTAAAGTGAATTCAGCACTTAAAGTTACCTCTGAAAACTTTTTCTGTATTTTTTACTGATAAACATCAACATGAAATCTTATCTCATTCTTTGCATTTTTTGTTTCTTCTCAAACTAGTTTTATAAGAAAGATTGTTAATTTGCTTACTTAGTGTTTCAGATTTATGTTTCTATGGAAAAATGACTTCTGAGTTCAATCCCTAAAATGCTTTGAAACCCGTGAGGGAGGTATAGTACCTGTGGTTCTTCAGCACCTAGCCACAAGTCAGAAGGTTTCCATGGGAATATACTTTTTAAGGGTTCTAGTTTACTTTAGACAGTCAGGGCAACATTTAGGAAATGTATTGAATTTAGAGCCCCGATGCCCGATACCTATCCTTGGCTGAGCTACTTATTATCATGGCTAGGCGCTTCTTTGACTTGTGTAGAGTTTAATTTTTGAATTTATGAAATGGAGATAATGCTGTCCCTAAACACTTAATTGTGTTTTCATGAAAAATAAATGAAATAATGAGCCTGAAAATGTTTGAATTCTGTTCTGTGGCTAAGGTCATGTGCAGTGAGAAGAGACAGATAGGGATGGAATTCTAGGAAACATCATGCTTTAAAGGCAACAAAGAAAAAAAGCCAAGAAGATGAATTTGGAAGAAGGTGAATTGTAGAACATGGTATCAGGAAACTCAGATCAGGAAGGGAAACAGGCAAAGCATCTGATTGTAGTAAATGCTACACTGGACGTATAAATCTGCTTAGGTACAACTGGATGACAAAGATCTCTTCGAAAAGAATTTGCATATGTGACTGAGAACTGAATCTAGGAGAATAGTAAGAGTTTGTCTAGGTGGCTAGGTTAGAGCAAGATTGATGTCACTGACCCAGGAAATAGGGTATGCAAAGGCTTGAGGTGTGAACAAGCTTGGGGTATTAGAGAAACAGTAATTCAGTGTGACTAAAGCGTAGCACAGATAGGTTGGAATAACCAAATCTGATGTTGGAAAAGTATGTTGGTGGCATACTGGCATGGGAAAATTGTAATAATGATTTCTTAACTTACTCCTTTCCAATATTTTCATGTTATAGTACACATAGAAAAGTGATAATACTTGTGATGTGCATTGGGGGTAAGCAGTGATTTCTGTAGGAGGCAGAATGTACCCAACTCAGGAGCTCCAGCTACCACAGGCCCCCCCTG